AATTCTGCACCAACAAATGTACTTACCGAATTGGATCCTTTGGCAAAACATGAAAATGCAACGATTTAGTTTTTGAATTTTATTTACAATTAAAAACACAATAATTCACATGATCCCTTAGATAAAATACATACACTAACATAACTATATAAGCATTTAAGCGTTGAGTTTCTTAATCAATGATATAAAGAATAATCAATTGAAATCGAGTACTAAACCAGTTTTTTAGTTTTTTCCTTGCAACGTAAAACACAAATAACTTGCGCGATTTAGCTGTGCAATTGAACAAAATTTGTCGAGTAAGACTTAATAAACATGGGAGTACCACAAGGATCTATTTTGTTTATCCTATATACAAACGATCTGACAGCAAATGTAAATACTGCTGATGATACCACTTTTATAAATAGTTCCGACAATACAAAAAGGCTAAAACCAAAAGTCCATTGAAGCAATAACCAATGCACAAGATTGGTTTGAGACAAACGGATTAAAACTAAATAAAGAAAAAACTCAAACACTTGTATTTTCACTAAAAAAACCTACACTACCTGAAAATATTCATTTGCTAGGGTTCTATATGGATAGTACAATGACATGGATTCAACATATAGATCACCTTTCAAAGAAACTAACATTAGCCATTTATTCAATTAAAAGAATAAGTTGTATCGTGAACAAAAATGCCGCAATACTTACCTATTTTGTACATTTTCATAGCATCTCCACATATGGCATCATGCTCTGGGGTTTATGTTCGGAATCATTCAGAATATTTCTACTACAAAAAGGGCTATTAGAGCATAATCGGAGCACCACTAACAACAAGCTGTAGAGAAATATTCAGTGGCGGATTTACCAGCAGGCTGAGTAGGCTCGAGCCTAGGGCGGCAGATTTTGGGGGCGGCAAATTTGGGGAACGATTTTTTTTTACCTCATAGAAATCAAAAAGATTTTTCTATGACGGTTTTCTGATGTCTTACAGATAGAAGTCTGCAACAAATTTTGTCGATGACTTTTCTCTCTCACTTGTCATTGCACATTCCGAGAGTAGCAAACTTCCATATTCTAGAGTAAAACAGCTAGTTCGCCGCCCCTCAACCAGTAATCGGCCTCTCGCCTCTGCGCCCTTTGCCCACACTTCTTATGAGTGAAAAGAACGAAATTGTAAAAAATATGCCCCTCTTCCCACTAACAACCCATACATGCCAGTCTTACTACTGGTTGGAGGCTACGAACTGGATGGTTTGTATATAATTTTTCGATTTTTATTCGAATATAATGAATAATTTAGTGAATAATTTTACCGATTTCAATTTTATGTATTGACTATTATGTGTTTCACATGCACGAGTAGTTTCAGAAAATTCGATTGAAATTAAAAAAAAATCTTGAACAGTAATAGCGAGATAGTCTTAAGTCAAAAAAAAATTTCAACGAAATTGTTGCATTGTAAAAATAATGTATGATATGACAATTGTTGAGGCAAGGGCGGCAAAAACTATTCAGCCTATACCTTGAAAATTTGTAAATCCGCCACTGGAAATATTTACAATTTTTAAAATACTTACTATTCCAAGCTGCTACATCCTTACCTGTCTGTGCTACATGCACCAAAATCAGACCAACTACTTAACACACGCACAAATTCACAATTAAGAAACAAGAAATAAAGACAAAATGGTTCTACCTAAATGTCGTTTGCAGAAGTCTCAGAACAATTTTGTATATTTGGGAATGCAACTATTAAATAAGCTTCCAGAAGAGATTAGAAAGATGGACAAAACACTTTTTAAAAAGACTGTAAAAAAATTCTTAATCCAAAATGTTTTTTATTCAATAGATGAATTTATATAAATTTTTTATCTTTAATTTTTTCTTAATATTTTTAAACTTCTGTAGTTAGTAAACTAATTTATTGCGTTTTTTATTCAAATGTCTCTTAATTATGTTTTTATATACTGTTTTGTTGACACGCCTTGTAAATTTTGGAGGTAAATAACTATATCTATTTATCTATTTGATTTATTCTACTAACTGTCTCATTTATTCCTCTATGTAAATTTTGTTTTCCTACCTGATATTGATCAATAATTATTTCTCTTTGATTTTCTTCGGGAGTTATAATATTTTTATCACACGTAATAAATTGTATATTTTCATCTTCCGCAAATATAAAACTTAATATTTTTAAAATTGGTAAATTGTCATAATCTTCTAAATAATAGTATATTATGTATCAAGTTTTATAAACGCCATTTTAGTTACGAGTTTAATTAAGCACGAGCGAAGCTTGCGAGCGAGTGTTTAATAAAAACGAGTGTCTAGAGAAGTTTATAAACGAGTTGCATACTATACTTTTTCTACGACGAACACAAAACAGAATTTAAAGCCAATTTTATTTGTTAAAATTTTGACATCTGTCAACTGTCACCCGAATTTAACCTCACTTTTTCCCAATTTATAATAAAGCTAACTTCAGCCCGTGGCGTAAAATGTCGAAAAGCCACTGTTGTTAACTTCTGCCCGTCAATAAAACGCCATAAAGTCACAGCTCGTCAATGTAGGAGTAGATAAAATACTTTATTTGTTTGTTCTAATAAAATATTTTTATTGTCAAATAAAATTTCAAATGCATATTGTTCCGTTTGGTTTCCGTAAGGTAAAGTGAGGTCTTATTTATAACATTGATTGTTGTCCCAGAGATTTCAATATTATCTTCATGAAAAAGTATTTGTAATTGTTTATTTGTAAGTTCACCTTTTTTCATGAATACCAAAATATCTTTATGAGTTTTATGTAATAATTCTTCATTTGACATTTTACATTTATTAAAATCTATTAAAGACCTAACTTGTATTGCATTTTTAAATCTATTAAATGAATTTAAAACTTCATCGTTATTTATTTCGTCAATATTTGAATTATTTTCTTGATCGTTATTAGAATTAGAAGGACCTGCGATTGCCGTCTGTATATATTTTATTTAATTCTAAATTTTAATATTTATTATGAAAAATTGTCACTTGTTTTCGTCTAAATAATTTAATCTTACTCTTGAAAGTGCATCTGCTATTTTATTTTGTTTACCTGGTTTGTAGATTATTTTATAATTATATTCTTATAACTTTTGGATCTTTTACTGAGAATAACCACGTCATGGGACGATGGTCTGTACAAATTATAATTTCTCTTCCATAAATATATGGTCTAAATAGAATAGATAAACATTCCTTTTCTATAGTGAAATACATTGATTCTGTTTTAGATAAGGTTCTTGAAACATAACTAATGGGTAAATCTTTTCCATTAAAATTTTGAGATAATAATGCACCAATCGCAAAATTACTAGCATCCGTAGTATACTGTAAATTGTTCTTCAAAGTTAAGGTATTGTAAAATTGGGTAATTAATTAAATTTTCTTTTAATAAATTAATTGATTCTAAACATTTTTCATTAAAATTAAATGGAGTGTCTTTTTTTAGTAAAACTGTAAGAGGTTTAACAATTTGTGCGAAATTTTGAATAAATCTTCTATAAAAACCTGCCATACCTAAGAATGATTTTAAATCTTTTTGATTTTTAGGAATTGGAAATTTTTGAACTGCTTTAATTCTTTTAGGGTTTGGTTTAATATCTGTAATTAAATTTCCTAAATAAATTACTTCTTAAAAATTACCCGGTTGAATTTTTAGATTTTATTTATTTAATTATATTAATATTATCCATTACTCGTTGAAAAGTAGCTGGAGTATTTTTTAATCCGAAAGGCATTCGTAAATATTCATAGTGTCCGTTCTCTATTGAAAAAGCTGTTTTATTACAATATTGAGGATTTAACTCTATTTGATGAAAACCACTAGCAATATCTAGTGTAGTAAAATATTTACATCGACCTAACTGATCCAAAATGTCCGTAATATTGGGTAATGGGTATTTATCACCAACTGTTATATTATTTAAATTTCTATAGTGAATTACTACGCGATATTTTAATTTATTACTTGCATCTATTTTCTTAGGAACGAGAATTATATGGGCTTATTGATTGTTTTATAATTCCTTCATCTAACATTTTTGAAATTTGCTTTTATTACTTCTTCCTTATAAATTTGAGAGTACCTATACGATTTAGTAAATATTGGTTTATTATCGGTTACTACAATATAATGTTTAATTTCATTTGTAAAACTCATAGGTCAATTCTGGGTTCTCTCGTAAAATTTCTGTAAATTCGTAAATCTATAGCTTACGATGATCTGTAACTATAATACTTATAGAATCGTAATAGTGGCAATTCTGGGATGTTATCTGTAAATGTCCAATTTAAAGTGGTATAAACGAACTACTGCAACTTACGCCTATTTACTTATGATCAACACATAACCTATATTTTTATATGTTTTTTATTTATCGGTTTATAATTTGTGTAGGTACCAGCATATAATACATTATATTATAAAAAGTAAAAAATTTAAATTATTTAAGAAATAAAATGAGGTAAGATAGTTTTACATTTAAAAGAACATGTATAATAAATACAAATTTTAGTGCCAAAGTAACAAAAAGAAAGAGGACAAAAAACACCACTCCTCAACAGTTGGAAGTATATTTGGAGGCAATGGAAGGAGACTATACATTGCGTAGTAACACAATAAATCCTACATTGCCTCCAAATTATTTAAATGATAAGTGGGAAGAGTTAAGTATTCGATTGAATGGAATGGGGGATGGACCAGCTCTTACAATCGAAGAATGAAAAAAAGTATAAATATATATATATATATAAAGGGTGGGCCATTAATAAGTTTGTTTTTAAAACATTGCCCATGGCAACACTCGATGCACCGATTTGTTTTAAATTTTGACAACTTGTCATTCTGACATTCCGCGGCACGAAACAATCATGTTTTCGCTTGAGGAGCGTTTCGAAATATTGAAAATTTATTTTCAAAGTCAGTGTTGTGTGGCCGAAACCGTACGAATTTTGAAAAGAATTATGGGTCGTGAAAGAGCGCCAAGCGGAACTGCTGTAGTAAAATTGGTGAAGAAAGTTCGTGAGATAGGCTTGCTATTAGATATCAGAAAAGGTCCCCGAGCTCGGACGCACTGTCCGCCTGAGAATATTGAGGCTGTGTCCCGTAGTGTGGTACGACGCCGATCGCAGCAACTGGCCATTAGTCGCACCAGACCAGAGAATACTGCACAAAGACCTAGGATTATTCGCCTACAAGGTCCAGATGACTCAGGAGTTGAAAGCAAATGACCTTCTGCTTCGATATCAGTTCGCTGTGTGGGCCACAGACCAGTTCAACAATGACGTCAATTTTGGTCGAAAAATCATTTTTTCAGACGAAGGTCATTTCCATCTCGGGGGCTATGTAAACAAGCAGAACTGCCGGATTTGGGGTACGGAACAGCCACACGTAATCGTAGAGAGGCGAATGCATCCACCAATAGTGACAGTTTGGTGTGGATTTTGGAGTGGTGGCATAATTGGCCCATTTTTCTTCGAAAATACTGCTGGAAACGCTGTTACCGTCAATAACGACCGTTACAGAGCTATGTTGACCAACTTTTTATGGCCTCAAATCGACGCCACACTGAGAGAAAAAATGTTGTATAATCATTGAAAACGTTAATAATTCAAAGGGATTCAAATATGTTTTGGCGTCATTGGTGTGTCCCATTAAATTAATAGGTGTATAACAATTGTATAATACATATCTTTTTGAATCAACATTGAATCAAATTTACCCGATTATTTAAATTAATATAATTTCATATGCTTTTCATGACATGATATTTCTCTGAGTGCATGAATGTAGACGATCTTTGGTTTCAACAAAATGCCATACAAGCCGACTGACAATCGATCTCTTGCGAACCAAATTTAACAACCGAATAATCAGCCGTTTTGGAGATGTCAATTGGACTGCCCGGAGTTGTGATATGATGCCGTTAGATTTTTTTCTGTGGGGTTTCGTTAAGGACCGATGTTATGCGGACAATCCAGCTTTAAAACATAACATTGAAACTGTTATAGGCGATATAGGCGGCGAAATCATGGAAAAAGTGCTTCAAAATTGGACACGCAGGATGGCTTACTGTAGGGCCAGCAGAGAAAGTCACATGAACGAAATTGTTTTTCATTCTTAAAGCGGAGACTCCAACGTTCACAATAAAAAAAAATGTTCTTAAAATATTGATTTAGACTCATTTTATAGCGTTTTTAAAAACAAACCAATAAATGGCCCACCCTTTATATGTATGTAGTCAATAAATTAACAGTTTTTTTACATTTAAAGATTTACTGATTGGAAATATTCCACAAAGTCCAAATACAGGAAAATTCGGGGGCATATGAACAAAACAGGGGGTGGACCAAGTACGGAAGTAAATTTAACTCCCCTGGAAGAAAGGGCCCTAGATATGTGGGGAAGGGTTACTGTGGAAGGGGTTCAGACAGTAACTGAATATGAAGGTATTCAAGTTGTAAACCCTACAAAGGACACCATAACACAGGATAATGAAATTTTTGATGTACCCGACATAACATACAATGTACCTAGTACATCTACAAGAGATCCAGAAAACAATAAAAAAAAATGAAATTAATAAAGAAAATCCAACATCTAGCAAAAAAAACGAAAAAAGGAAAAGGGTTAGGGCCAAACCTTTGTCAGGTTTGGCGGAAAATTTAATTAATTCTAGTGAAAGAGTAGAACATCAACAAAAATTTGTTGAGCTTTTCAAGAATTATTCGGAAAACTAGGTAAGGCTGGAAGAGGAAAAATTAAAAAATTCAAATTTTTGAATCCAAACTTTGAAATGTGATTTAATATTTATTTTTGACTTATTAGGATATTTTTTTTGTTGTTCATTTTTTGTTTGACTGATTACCTAATAATTTTTGACTGAATTAGAATATTTATTTATTTTTTTGTTATTTTTTTTACTGTGGTTTATTTTTTTAAGTATTTTATTTTATTTTTATATGTTACATAAAAATTTTAAAGTTTTGTAACTAATTAGAATATTTATTTATTTTTTTGTTAATTTTTTTTACTGTGGTTTATTTTTTTTAAATATTTTATTTTTATATGTTAAATAAAATTTTTAAGTTTTTGGATTGTTTTATTTAGTCAAAATTAAATTTATTTCTAATTTAGTTGGCCCTGGCTGCTTGTCCCAATTGATAAATATTACCATTATCAGGTACAGGTTCTGAAAATTAGAAACATAAAAAATGAGTTTTAAAAGAAATTTATTATAAATACCATTATTGTGTTCTTCATGTTCAGGCCATTCAATTTCCTCCTCTTCTAAATTTGCCTCTTTTGCTATATTATGCAATACACAGCAAGCATAAATTATATTTGCTGCTTTAACTGGGTGGTACATTAGAATTCTCTGTCTTGACAAGCATCGAAACCTTTCTTTAAGGATACCATTTGTCCTTTATATAATATTTCTGGCTGAACTTAGCACATTGTTAAAGGCTTCCTCTCCTTGGTTGTGTGGATTAAGAAAAGGGGTAAAAAGCCAGGGTTCCAGAGGGTAACCACTATCACCTGAAAAAAATGTAATTAGGTATTATAATACAGTTTTAAAATATAGATTACACTTACCTATTAAATGAGTCATTTCATCACCTTGTTCATACTTTTCTTGCAAGTGATTGCGAATGGTGCTAACTTGCCATATAGCAGAATATGAACTGAACCAGGAAATCTTGCATTACAAGCCAAAATTTTTGCATTAGCATCTGATATCTAAAAATATGTTTTATGTTTTAACCTGTGATATTTAATATTTTACATTATATATACTAGCATAACATTTATTGAATGTTTTCCTTTCCTGTTAATGTACGTGAAAGGTTAACATCCGTACTGGGTGGTGCTAAAATTTCAACATGTGTCCCATCAATTGCTCCTACTACACCTCTAATTTCATAATTTCTAAAAAAACTGAATAACAACAGTTTAAAATATCATCAATATTTGTTATACTTTTCTTTTACACTAATAATTTCCTCATTTGTAATAGGAAATTTTACCCAAACTGGTAGCAAATGAATTGAAATTGCTGAACAAACTTCATTTTGAAAGGACCCAACTCCCAAAAAATGGAGAGTAAGAAGTACCTGAAAATATTATACATATGAGGCCACTAGAAGCCAAGGGTACATTTCCCTTGGCTTCTATAGACACCTATAGAGAGTATATAGTACCTATATGTACATTATAAATAATATCATTAACATAATTATTAATTAACTGTAAATCTACTTACTTTTTTTGTTATAGTGATGGAATTATTATTCCTTTGTGGAATGTGGTAAAATATATCATTAATTAAATTTATTGTTGATGATGATGTTATCTAATCTAAACAATTGTTTAAATTGAAAATTCGGCATTTCAAAAGAATCCATCTCGTCTCTTAAAAATCTCCTTTGAATTCTCAAAAAATTTCTACAATAATTTATTATGAGATCATTTACCTACCTACCATATTCTACGAAATGTGGCCATACCTGTCACGATCTTCTTCTATTAGTATGCCGATAAACATATCCACATTATTAAAAATATTCATGTTTTTAATCTTTAAAATAGCTTGACATAACCTAACAAAAACGAACTGTAACTAGCAACGATTGGGAAACACCCTATAAGATTTTCTGTAAGCTACAGGAAGCGCAGAATTGCAAATTGTCTATAAGCTTACAGATGTGCGCAGAATTGACCTATTAGCCTATCTCCTTCTAAATAAAATAATTCAGGGAATTGTAAACACACGTTAATTATTTTTGTTTTTCTTCTTCATTTAAATGATTAAGAGGCAATGAGTTTATTATTTGTTCTTCTCTATTAATATTATTAAAGGGTAAATTTTTATTAAAATGCATTATATTAGATTTTTCTGGAAGTTCTTCAAATTCTAAGTTTTCTATATTAACTCGTTTATTAATATTATTTTTATTTAAAACAGTTGTGTAAAATTCACCACATTTATTTGTTCTAATAATAAAATTAGGTATTATAACATTGTCAATATTTTTTCTTAAAAGAATCATTTCTTTATCAATAAAATTACTTTGTAATTTAAATACTTGTTCTATACGGGGTTCAATTATAATTATATTTGAAATACTACTTACTGATTCATCATTTAAATATATTGTAATTTTAATATCAGTTTCCTTAAATACAAATTTGATCATTTATAATATTAGATTAAAATCTATTTTATCTAATCCGCAACCTATTTTTGGTAATGATAAATTTTTATCATCTAATTCTATACATCTATTTCTTAAATTAATTAAACTTGTAAATAAATTATCATATGTAGGTTTTTCATAAAAATATTCTTTTGTTATTAAATTATATGCTTTTATCTGGAGTATGCATTGCAGCAATTTCTCCTATTTTTTTTGTTTAATTTTATTAAAGATTTAAAAATATCATAATTCATATATTTATTTTTAATAATTAATGCAAAACCTTTTCCCATTTTATAATCTCTAGATCTCTAGAAATACAATGACCTACTGAAGTATTAATAGTGTCGATATTTATGCATCCTTTGCAAATAGTTATATTATCATTTACTATGTCTCCTTTAATCTTTAAATATTTATTAAAGTCATTTAATACCGTATGTTTAACAGAACAAAATTCTGGTTTTAATATAACTTTTTTATTTATTTTATCATTTTTTAACTTAATAGAATAATCAAATTCAAAATGTTCAACCGAACAAGATTCTGAATTTGCATTATTTTCATTTTAATCATTTATATTATTTTTTATTAAATCTAATACAGCAAAAGGAGTCTTTTAGTTGCTAGGGAGAGATAGTCACCTTTGGCATTGAATTTTGCGCTTGTTAGTTTCTCCAGGGCACTTTTACTGTCTGTAAATATTATATTTTTTTCAGGATTTTTTTCTATGGCGATTTCAATACCTTTACAAATGGCAGCCATTTCCCCCGAACATATTAGAGTTGATGTGGGCGTGTTTTTTAAGTTTTAAGTTTGCAATGTTAATATTAGCCAATCGGTGTTCATCCTCAATCTCAGAGCAGGGCAGTCAGATCTCTCTTCGAATTAAGCTTATATATTGATTAGGACGGGAAGCACATTAACAATATGGGGTGAGTTTTTGTTTTTCCAAAAAGTAGTGGGGTGAGTACAGTAATAAAAGAGTTCACTATTTTAATGATTGGGTGTTTTTTTAATCTTAGGATTTTAAG